TTTAGATATTGTTATATGTTGCTCGTCTTATTATTAGAATTGTTATACTAATATAAGGTGTTTGTCGCATTATAATACATAAAGAATTATCAATTATAGGATTAGAAAAACTTACTAACTCTCTTCGAGCAGCGGTAACAGTTATATCAGCTATCACTATATCATAAATACCGTCTTTTACTGCTTGAATTAATCCATTATATGTCATATTTGATGGTGCTAATTGAACAATTGGAATAAATCCTAATTTACTTTGTAAAATATCAATAAGATCTGGTACATAGCCACTATACTGTATTATAGTTTGTCCAGATGCATCTGTTACATTGTCAACTATTACAAACGGAATTGACTCAGTAATGCCTATTCGTAAATTTACACCCCTAAGAATTGCTTGATCAGTGGGCTTTGTTAATGAATTACCTGGCCATACTATAATGTTTTCTTGAGCAGGTATTCGCCAATCATCAGGATAAGAATAATCTAATACATGAACAAAATTCAAACCATTCGAAGAAGGTTGAGCATTTTTTGCAGAATAATACAAACCAGTTATGCGATTTGTTACATTATAACTAAATCGTACAGGACCAGATACACCAAGAAATTCTGTTCCAGTAACTGCATCTAACAATTCATTAGATTGAATGAATCGACGATTAAAACAATATGATGATCCAACAAATGATAAACATGAAGAAGAATTATTTATTTGTGATGCACAAAATTTTTGTAATGATTGAATTAATGTCCATGTTGCATCAAATGTAAATAATGCATGAAAATCTACATTCATTGATCCAGGAAATGATTCAGGTTCATATTTTTGCCATATACTATATGCTGCATCTAACAATGTTGTATTAATGGTTGCCTTGATAATTGATCCTGTAACTGGTTCAATTGAAAGTATTCCAGTTAAGTTTTCATGGTATGTTTTATTGAAATAATTTAATGGAATAGTAGCGCTTAGTATCCATGTAAAATATGGACCAACTACATTAGAATTTAGAGCTTCTTGCAAAATTAAAGGTGTATAAGCTGCTATAGCCCATAAAACAACAACTCGTGTTGCAACATTAGTTAACAGACCTTTCAAATCACCACGAATACTTAGTGTAGCAATGTCAAATTCAACTGTTCGTTTAACTGTTAAGCCACTTGCATTAAATGAGTTACTTATACTTCTGACTCCACCAAGTCCAAACCTATCATTTTGGTAAATTATTGTACATGATGTCCAATTAAATCGAATGAATAGTTTCACAAGAGCTGCTGCGGCTATATCATCTGATGGAACTGTACGATAAAAATTTGGATAAATTTTTCGATTGGAAAGATCAGGATCAGTTGCAGAATATGATATAACAGGTATACCAATTTTTTTAGCAAAAGGACCAATCGTCTGAACTTCAGTTGATAAATATGGACCAACGATACCAACAACATTTGAAGTAGACAATGCGTCACAAGCAATATTCACAGCATCTATCCCATCACCAGTAGATTGCCCTGCTTGCCATCCGATGAATTCTCCTCTGAAAGTTATATTATATTGATGGGCAAGAACTATTGCTGCCTTAAACATAGCTAAAGAATGGACATCTGAGTTGGTTGTGTCAGACACGTTAGATATTTCGAGAAAAATTCCCAGCAAGCTAAAATTTGAAGAGCTAAACGATGGCCAACTTGTTACTGCATAGTGTATCTTAATTTGTATAAGAACAACGTATAAAAAGAAACATCGAATTTTGTTGCATAATAACATGTTGTTAAGTTTGTTCAATATGGAAGATGATTGAACAAAGTATCAAAGAATAACAAATTATATTTAAATTACAGACAAAAGCAAATTAATCTAAAAAATGTTAGAAAAATCGAGCGGAATTGCTTTTGTCATATTTGTATATGTCTCAATAGAATATGACGAGCTCGACAAGAATGTCTATCGATATTAAAAAAAAATGTAAAATAGATAATTTTACAAAAGATTTTGAAATAACCTTGAAAAAGTACAGTGTATATTTATTAACCCGTTCACCACGATAGGATCCACCGGTGAGTCCCACATTACTTTTACAAGAAACTCAATAGACAAACACTTTTTTCTTTTGTTTTTTCTTTGTTAGAAGTCGCACATTAAATGCCGTCAGTTCCGCCTTTAATACTATTTAATCGTTTATTGGAAAGTACAATGTTTCTCATTAAAACAATTGAGACAAAAGAATTTACCACAATTAGAACAAAAAGTTTTAATTTTTTTTGCAGCTGCATGACCGGCTTCTCTCGATTGTTGTTGTCTTATCTTCTCGTAACCAGACCCCGCGCAAAAGACTTAAGATTGGAGAGGGGGGGATGAATAATTTTTTGGGGAGCGTACACATGCTTTTACCAAGAAATCTTGACAAAATAGAGGCGAAAATTGCACAAAATCTACTTCTATAAGTGGAAAAGCTGAAATTTTTAATTATCGGAGGGTATACACCCCCCGCTCGCGCGGGACCTGCTCGTAGCAGCCAGCACAACGTCTTCGGACATCACGAGCAGCTCCTTCTTTTTCTTCAAGATTGTGATCAGCAAGTTTGCGTTTCGTTTGACCTATTGATTTTTGTCTTGGACCCGGCTTCAGCTTCTCGAATGAAATGTGAAGCAGTGAAGATCGGACAAGACTTTCACGAAACTGCAGAATGGTCACTTTGCTTGTCGCATAGTTTTCCTTGTGTATCAAGTAGCTATTTACCAGGGCTGTCCTAAAAACTAATTCAAATGCTACCTTTCGGTGCCACTTTATTGTCCGTCGAAGGCACGTGCAATATAATGATAGTTGATCCGATAAATCACTTCCTAGTCTTCATTGGTTATAATCCGGTACAACCTGTGGCTTCATGATGCGTTCATTTTTACTATTGATATTTCCAGTATCCACCACAGTTGCTGAATCTGATGGTCTTGTGGATATCACCAAGATGTCTTTTTTATTTTTTCACATAATCAATTTTACGCCGTCTCTATTCTGAAGTCTGTAAGCTTCGCCGCGTCTAAGATTTTTCCAAACAACTTTTCTTTCCGATTAGACACGATTCCTTCTCAGAGTCCCAATAAAATACGTATCATTATGCGATGATACAAAGAAGAGAACAATGAATAATCGGCAGAAGATAATGAAAGCGGCACTAAGTGCATTTATTAGAAGTTAACTTTTGACAGAAATAAATATTTCGAAGAATTTTCCAAGAAAACTGAATCGTGGTGAATGGGTTAAAGTAAAGTAAAATGTTCGATTATTCGAAAAGTTCAGTACTTTCGATATTGACTGTAATGAACACAGGACGCTTATATCGATAACACTCTATGATACTCACCATTTATTACAACAAGAGTATCATTTGCGAAGCATGCCTTTATTTACATGAAATGAGTAAAAATGACTTCAATTACCTTTAATCGTATATTTTGCTATTTGTTTCAACAATCAAAAAAAATGAGAGAAAGAAACGAAAAAATATCTCATGTGTAACCGATTATTATATACTAAGGCAATGAAGCTGTAGAAAAAAAAAGTAATTCTTCACTGATATTTTGTTGTTTATTTCTATCGATATAATATTCACTTTTGGCATACTTCGATAGGAGAGTTTAATTTCAATTGTGATGTCAGAATAAATCTCTTATTTTATTTTTATTTGATATGTTGTGAAATATTATTCAGCTCTATATTACTTTTTGATCACACTATGTAAATACAGAACACAAATAACAGTAAATATGTGCAGTAATAACATGTGATCATTAATACTTTAATATGCTAGAGTCAACCATACTTTGCTGTCATTTGATCATTCGTGATATCGAAAAACATTTATTACTCACTCATGATTCGTTCTATCTGTCGATAAGTCGATTTACGTCTTTTTCCTTTCCTTCGTATATACGTACATCTTAATCACGCGCTCAGTGCGTGATCGAGAAAATTAATTAATTACATTGATTTTCTCTCTATACTGAATTATAAGCCATTGACAATGACTTCTCATTCAGTTTCATATTTGAACAATGATGATGAACATCGTTTAAAAGCATTAAATGATCATGTTATAGTGTCCGAATTACATAATAATATCTTATCTTGTAACTCAAATAATATTTCGGATTCTCATTTGGATCTTAATCTTAATGAACATGTTAATTTGACTAAAAAAATGATGAAAATCATGCTATTACACCAAGATCGTCGTCAACATCAAATTTACATCTCGTTAATTCATCGTTATCTTCTGTTCGTCGTCCACTCTCAGCCGACGAATCAGAGGATGGTTTTCGTCTTGTGAAGAACAAGTAAAAACAAAAACAAATTGCACGTGATGACCCTCAAGCATTAAATAATGATGAAGAATCTCGTGTTAATCCAATTGTACCTAATCCTGATGATACAGAACTTGATCAAAATCAAAAACATACTGTTAATGATAATCAACATCAGTTATCTTCTTATAATTTCGTTATTACTAATGAATCAACACGTTTTGCTCAAACACGGTATCCGTTTTCACCATTTGTTTTACGTTTTGGTGCAGGAAAGGTTACAAGTAATCAAGTTAAAGAAAATTTAATTGATCATTGTAAAAAAATTCATCAATTTGATGTTCAAGTGATTAATTGTCGTTTATCTTCTAATGTTCTATCTGATAATGCATATGATATTCTTATATATGTAAAAGATGCTTTTTCTTTTTCGTTTTTATTAGAACAAGCTCATTGGCCAAAAGTTATAGGTGGTAAAAGTTATTTTTTTCCTTCAGCACCAGCTATTCCACCACAACTCTGTTTACTTATTAAAAATGTTGATTTACGAATTGATTTTGATGAATTCTGCTTTGATATTAAATCTAACTATCCTCAAGTTAAAAATATAATTATAATGAAAAACAAGTTTCAAAATGAGATCAAGATGGTTAAAATTGAATTAACTTCTTCTTCTACTAGAGATGAATTATTAAATAAAAAGAGAATTACTGTTAATTATATCATTTATGATATTATTGAACATCTAGCTCCTGCTAATGTGCTCATATGTTCTAAGTGCATGGCATTGGGGCATTTTAAAAAACAAGGCTCCCAGATTAAAGAAACATGTCGTACATGTGGTGAACAAGTTGATGATATGAAAAATCATAATTGTTCTAAAATTGAAAAATGTATCCACTGTGGACAAAATCATAAATCTAGTTCTCTCAAGTGTCCGGTGGTCAAATCTTTTCGTACTGAATTAACTCGTAAAATTCTTCAACTTAATAATCATTCATCACCTGATATGAACTTGAGTAAAAATATTATTTTTAATTCAACTAAATTTCCACCTCCACCACCTAAATCGTCAACTTCATCAATTAACCCTATGATGGATAAGCTGGATGAATTAATAAATAAATTATCAGAAGTGAAGAATCATCTTGCTAATTTGGAAGCTAAACATGATCAATTTGAACAATTCATATTAGAAAAAAATCGTAATGATGAAATTGTTACTAAAAAAATTAATGATATATCTAATTACCATATGGATTTAAAGAAAAATGTTGTTCAACATAGTTTATATATTGATAGACATGAAAATTTATTTTGTAAATTGTTAATTCCTATGTTTGAAGATTTATTTTCATTTATTGCAGCACAAAATTGTGACAAGAGGGGTAATCCACTTGATGTGGATCTTAAATGTAAACTAAATCGTTATGTGGTTCAAATGAAAAAAGCAATTGAAGGTAAACAATTTACAAGCTAATGACTCTGTCACCTCTTGCTCAACCTTTTTTTTCTTGTTTTTCTTCTTCTAAACTATGTAAGCGTAGTGATGTTTTAGTTAAAGCTAAAGCTTCATTATCTTCATTTGACTTTAATCTTTTCTTAGAGATTCTGAGTGAGTGGGAAGGTAGTCTATTTCTTGATTCTTGTTTTTCTATGTGGCAGAAGTATGTTCCTTTTGATGAAAATTCTTTTCATTCTTCACTTCATGTTCTTTCATTCAATGTTCGGGGGGCTTGAGTTAAGATGGCAAGAGGTCCTTCTTCTTACATCTTCTTTCAATTTCGATATTCTTATTCTTCTCGAAACTGGTAAAATTGAACTGTCTTTATTTGAAAAAATCTTCAATAACTTTAGAATTTTTTACCAAAAGAGAGAGAATAAAAATGGTGGAGTTTTGGTCCTGGTGAAATTAGTTATTCAAGTAATGTGTATAGAATGTAAATTACCTAATGTTTGTGTTTTAGATATTATAGGTGAAGAAATCTTACGTGTTGTTGGAATATATGCACCTGAGAGTAAATCCTAGACATGGGAGTATCTGTTTCCTTTTTTATCTAATAAATGCGTTGTGTTTGGAGATTTTAATGTTGATATAGATCAAGATGGTAAAAAAGCAGAGACCTTCCTTGCGTGGGCAGATACTAATTTTCTTGCTCCATTTACACCTGAATTGTCTACTTCCTTGCGTTCGAATAGAATAATTGATTATGCTTTAGCTGCTGGTTTAAGTATCGATATTCAAAATTATAGTGGTAATACAACCAGTGACCATACACTCCTCAT